GTAAGTTCTTAGCCTGCTATTCCCTGCTGCCTTCAGCCAAAGTAGTCTTCCTCAGTTCTTCCTTCACAGAGTCACTTTGGTAGAAAACATCAAGAGCGAAAGCCTCGCACAATTATACATCTATGTGATAAGTTCCTTCAAAAGCTAGGGTTGCTTGGCAAAAAGCAATCGGCCTAACCCCAGGCAGCGCTTTCCTGCCATACAGTGCCATTTGGGATTGAGGTAGACGCCCACTCAACGTCGCTAGCACTTCAGTCGTTTAATAATTGTCTATGAAAAACAATGACGTATCTTAAAGGGCGTGCGGGACCAGTCTCTAGGTAATTATTGTGTCCTTATCAAAAGAGACGGATGGAACATTTCTGGCATAATGTGAACATATGGTCCTCTAAATGAGTTGATCTTAAAAAAAATCAGGTAGGATCCTTTTTTGAACTTACAAACGTCAGCAAAAAATAGCAATTTTAGGGTAAGTTGGTCTTGGGAGAATTGCTTTTCCTTTTATATTTGGCGATTTGTTGGAGAAATTGGTGTTGTGTTTGTTTTAGATGTAGATGTCGGAATTGATATGTTTATAGCATGTTGAGTATGGAGTTCATTTTTTTTTTCTTTAATGTCAGTAATACGATTTAATAGAGTGTAAAATTGTTGTAGCTGTTGGTTTTGTGGTGTTGATAATTAGTATAGGAATTTTTTTGACCATATTAATTAGAATTGCACCTTCAGTCTTCAGTATGCCATTATGCGAATAGCACTACGATATATTCATAGACTTGTAACGTCGATATCAGGGACGGAATGCAGGGGTCTGAGATTGCCCCTTGGGACTTCCAAGCCATGTGGCGAAGGTCCATCACCGATCAGCCGCGCTTACATGCCCTTAGACAAATTATAGAACGCGATTATTTTTATGCTAACGCATAATAGGGAACTAGATAGTTGTCGTCTGCTTTGTCACACAGACGTTTTTTTGTTTGTTTTTAAGGCGAATGGAAAGGTGCATTGAAGCCTTTCCTTCTTGTTGTGAGCAGAGGTTGATTTGTGCATTTTCGAATACTCGTTTTATCACAAGTGCTACTTGTATGCTACCAAGAGAAAGGACGTGTAGCCCAGCCATGCTAAGGAAGAGTCGTTCCCCTGCCAGATGGATGCGCGGCGCCATTGCCGAATGGGCGCTGCATCGCTGGGTAAGTGCTGGCCGGAACGACTTTGTAAAGTGAGTAGCAGATCGATGCTCCCTTCGCCGAGAAAGGCCTCGCGGGGCTTCCTTACCAAGTACCGGAAATGTCGCCCGCAGTGTTATCACGGTAATCCGCTTGATGTCATTCTACAGTTAAGCTTTGAAGTCCATCTGGCCTGTGCGCAAGCAGATGACCCGTTTTCACCAGTTTTCATGGCTTGTCTTCCGCGAAACCATCAATAAATATGGCACTGGTATCCGAAATAGATTCTTTTCTGTTCGAGGATTCCCCTCTTCCGGTATAAGGGATGAACACGGTACGTATGTACTTTTGACAGGTTCATACTCTGAAAGACTCTTCGACGGCTCAATCCAGGAAACCCTTTTTCCCGCGCGGCACACGTTCCGCACGGTTTCTCGAATATGGGGTAATACTCCGACGGTCCTTCCAGGCAATGCTTTGCTTCTAAGCATACGAAAATTTCGTATCCAGGGTTCTTACGTTGTTGCCTCTACAAGGTACAAGTGCGGTTCGGAGTTGTGTTGACTTCACAGGGAAAGCACATGTAGTGCTTCCTCGTCGGGACTTATGAGGGCCAGTCACTGGGATGCCAGATGCATTTTAGCAGTAATAATGATATTACAACTTTTAAATCTGATTATTAGCTTAGAGCAGTTCTTTGTGTCTAGTATGCAGTGGAATTTGTGCAGTTGAAACTTGGGACTGTCGTGTGTTTTACAAGCACCGGCGATATAAACCGTCATTGTGCCTGCGTGGCTCAGGCGAGGGGACGAGCGTCGGTGAGGGGTTGTTTGTACCAGTTTGTTGTGTCATCTCAGCCTCGACGCAGCTGTCTGTTTTCTACCGTTTCATATTGCTCACAATTGTGTATCAACAGTGCGAAAAAAGAATGAAGACCATGTGTTCTTAGTGCTACACATTGCGTTGTGGAAATGATACATATATAATTTTTTCCAATGAATTTCGTGTTGAATTCCAGCATTGATTTGTGAGTTTGTTTCATTGATTTGCATTAGTGTTCTTGTGTGAATACAAAAAAAATATTGATTATTTACAAGATACAGTACGTATTGCGATGATGAAAATGAAAAATAAGTGTTTTGGTAATAGAATATATTAGTGTGTAAGACATATCATATTCACACTTGCCATTTGTACATAGACAGTTTGATCCCATGGTATTAGTTGCAAAGCGCAAGACAGCATGAACGAATTCCAGCAAGGCAAGACAGGTCCAGTGGAGCGGTCCAGGAGCATTCCGACATCGCGGTCCTTGGACTTTCAGAGACTCCGCAATT